AAACCTAATCATCCCAATGGAATCTGCCGCACGAGCCAAGTCCGAAAAAAGTGCGCCAAGTTGTAAAGGTTTTACTTACAGTTTTCTTCGATTGAAGAAGCGTGGTGCGTCATGAGTTCTTGCTACAGATTATAACGGTCAATAAGGAATATTATCTGCAAGTTATGAGCAAATTTGCGCGAATCAATCCGTCAGAAATGCCCCTATTTGTGGAAGAACAAAAAATTTGGCTTTTATGCCATGATAACACCACTGTCCACACATAGTTGTTTGTGCGGGAATTTTTGGCCCAAAACAACACAGTAAATACCACAGCCACCGTATTCCTCAACTCTGGTCCCATGTGACTTTTTCTTATTCCCAAAACTGAAGAGGCCCATGGAACGACGGAGCTAGGCTACATTTGAGGAAATAAAGACAGCATCAAAGGAGGAGCTGAACAAAATCATAAAAAACGATTTTTTGAAGTGCGTCGAGGATTGGCGCAAGTGTATAGTATCTTGTTGGGATTACTTTAAAGAGGACAAAATAGATATTCATGAATAAATAAATAATTTTTGAAAAAACACAAAATTCGCGATACTTTTTGAGGAGACCCCGTATATTTTTCTAGAGTACTGCTTAGATACTTTGATGTATGGATTTTCTCCTCGCTTGTTTGGATACCTAAATATACAAACAATCCGAAATATATGTGGATTAAGAATTTACCACATTACTTGACTGACTACAGAAAATAAAGTATTTCTGCGATTTTAGACCACTACGATTTAGTTAGGTCACCTCATTATACTTTATGAATGATTCACTCTGTACGAAACAAGAAAATTCAACATAAGCAATGTCAATATTTTAGTAGACAATTATTTTGCAATTGGATTAGCACTGACGCGTAGAAGCATCGCTTAAACGTAATTTTCGATGTGAAAATTTTTACGAGACGCGCAGCATGAAAAAACAAAAGATGTAAAAGAAAATGTGCCGTGAAGCTCATTTTTCCCGCCGTAAATCGGAATTCTAATTTTCCACCATCGAACAGCGAATCCCTTAACTCCTATATTACTTTGACTGAATTTTCCAGTAGGTGCGATCAATGTTGTCGAGAACGAAGCTGCATACATCAATAACCGTCACATACATTATAATGAACCAGAACAAAATCTGCGTACACCGGGTGGTATTCTGTGTTATTAGAAATAACGAGGCTCCATTCAAGAAAAAAGGAAATAATTAAAGCTACTGGGGGCGTTCAAATTTAAGTTGGACCTAAAAAAATATTCTAGATTACAATTTTCGTAGTTCTGACACATATTTGTATAAAAGCACTCAGTTTCGAACAGTTGTAGCAATTTTTTTGAAGTAAAACTTCTTGGTCAAGGGTAGGAAGGACATTTACTAGGTATAAAACCGAAAAGTGTAACGTCACGGGTTACAGCGTCACGTGTCACGCGCCACGTGTGACCCCTGACGGGGATGTCCAAAAGATGTCATTTTAATAGGCTTCAGAAATGTCGAAATGGCAATTTTCGGATTAACGGTTACAACTATTGTCACCAGATCGCGCCTACGCTGTACTATATATGAATTGCACATCGGTTTGTGTTTGTTTTGATTTCTAATTTCTCTCAGTAATTTCATACAGTGCAATAGTAAACGTTAAAAAAAAAACAATTGTGTGGTTTTATGAAACCACAATGCAAGTGAAACTTTTCGGATTGTAGGCAACTTGAAATTTTCGGAAATTTATTCGATTTAGAGTATTAAAATTAAAATCGCGTTTTTAATCTTATCTTAATGATTGGAGAATGGGAATGGTAATGGCAAATCAATAGTAAACAAAATATCCAACTATAAATTTTAATTTCAATTTGCGTATGAGTACGGAATACATAATAAATACAAACAGATGATAGACGCAATTTAAAAACTGAGAACAATATTTATTTAAAGCATTGAATCATTTTGAACTTCAGTTTTTCTATCAATAATTTTATCTTCGCTTTGAGTTTCATAGTCTATACATGTAATTGTCATGCACTTGCACGAATGAGTGAGAATATAAATGCTACACGGTTAGCTCATGCGAGCCATGGGCGCCGCCATATTGGCATTGGGTGCTCTGCCGAGCGCCTTTCAGTTTTATCCCTATAGATGGACGAAACAATTTGAGGCGATGTAATAAAAGTTTCACTTTAACAAACCAATATTCCGCATTCATCTATTCTGGTGTTTAGTAATTAATTAATACAATAGTTTAAGACAGTTTTTGTATATAATCCAAAGAAGTTTCAATTCTTACGAGTGTACATTAATACACGCCCGCCTCTTTTTTTATTCGAGAACAACTTATTCTTTTTTGGAAATTCCTTTTATAGACGAGTTCCATGAAGTAGGAAGAATGAAAATCTGAATTATAAGGTAGATGAGGGAGAATGGTCTGCTTTAGGTCTACAAAAAAATTTTATTATTACATAATGCAGATACACTTTTTCTTATATGAGAAGTTTCAAAATTACAATTGTTAAAAAAAATGATTAAAAAAGTTCAAAAGACACATGTGGTCATATTTTTTAGAATTTATCAAACATTTGTATAATTTTGACTGTGTTTTAATTAAACATGTAAAGTTATCGATTTCAACAGCAATAAAGATTACATTATTTACAGAATGCACTGTAGGTATCTACATTTGATGGATTTTTTCTATAAAATGCGGAAAAATCACTAAAAGCTATAATTATGAGAAAATATATCGAGGTGCACCTAATAACCGAATACAACCCTGGAAAATTTCAGTAGACATAAGCATTAGGTGAACATGTGTTCACGTCTACTTTAATCTGATCTATCTTGAAAGTGAATAATGTGTAGGAAAATCCACTGACTGAGTTCTATTTGTAAAATTTTCGCGCTCGTTACGTAACAAGTCGTCAGTTTTTCAATTATTTTGACTCTATGCTAGAAGAATAATACTGTCCTTAATATTTATGAGATAGAGACAAATATTTACGGTTCCTTCAAAAATCGATATACGACGCGATTTCTTGCTTTTTAGACCCGTCCTTGCTTTACTTATTCCCTGTGGAAATGATTACTAAATTGTTCCTATATTTTTTTGGAGATAGCTTCTCGTAAAATTCAGGATAGTTCCCCATGGATATTTTCTCAAGAACCTTCGACTGCGTTTATTTTAACAATTCTAGATAAAATGCTCCGATCGTCATTTTTTACGAACACTTTTTCTTTTATTGATGAGAATAGCTTTGATGGTCGATTCGTAATCTCCTAAAATTGTCAAATTAAAGCAAGAAAGAATGAGTTAAATAAAAGTTATATTATAAAATAAAAACAAATTTAATTTTTGAATTACCTGTAGGTATTACTTGACAACACCATTCAGTAACAAAAGGATTGCGAGAACGCTGGAGTTTGAATCCCGGAATTTAAACCGGTTACGTACAAATTAGATCTGTTTATGAAATAACTACTGCGAATTCCCTGCTGCATTTACTTTTATAATTGTGCAAATAATAAATCTATTTATATTGCTGTGATATATACTTCAACAAAAATAATAATATGATTTAATTTACTTTCAATTCGTTGAAATAACACTAAATCTATAACTTAGGCTAATTAATGTGCACCCGTTCTTTGAACACAAAGTAACTGGGAAGATGGAAACAGACTGACGCTTATCAATTCAAGATTACCTTTGACCGGTACTCAACGTAGGACGCAGTTATCCGACCGTTCATCCTATTTTGGTTTAGTAATACCTACCTATTTTGAAAAGTAATAGAATCTGCATTTATGGTAAATAAAAATTAAATGAAAACGAAAAACTATTTAATTAACAAAAAATGAAATAAACACTAGAATTTATGAAAGTAGAATTTGGAAGTTGAAGTTAGGAAAGATGTGTCAGAACTGATAGTGGATTGAAAATTAGAATACTACATAGATTATAAGGGAAGAGCTAGAAGAATAAAAAATAAGATAGGGACCGAATTAGAAGTGTAATCGTTTGGGAAATTTTAAGATAAGAAATATCGTTGACCCCAAAGCTCCGAAGAAACCCCTCATAAAATTGAAATTAGAAAGTAATAAGAATAATAAATATCTTGCAGTTAGTCACAGGGTTGAAATATTATTGACAGATTAGAGGAAAGTACGAAGACAATTAAATAGTCGTTTAAGCAAAGAATAGCGTAGAATTATAAGAAAAGAGTATTTACACAATAACAATACAACACACAATGAAATTTACAATCACAACAATTCACAAAGACATTTACGGAAATTCCAAACACACAAATACAAGTAATAAAGTTTACGCAGACATATCAACAAATATACAAACACACACTCAATATTTCACTCTATAAAAAAAATATTTGGTTCTTGGCGTGTTCAATATTAAAATAATAAAATCTGGTGAAAAAAACAAATATTTATTTGACACTGTTAGAGCTGAAGAAGAGTAAAGTAGATGAAGGTTGATTTAGAACTAAAGAATATAGAATTTGAATAATTTAGGAAAGTTATGAAGGTGGAGCTAAGGGTTGTAGATAAAAGAAGGGAACCAATAGTAAGAAAATATGATTTGAAAACTGCTGAAGATAGAAAATATAGAATTAAGTTGTTGAACCCAAATCACCGAAGAAACCCCTCATAAAATAGCAATTGGGACGGATAGCAAAGTACAGACGTCATGCGGTTAGTACGCGAAGTTGAAATGTTAATAGGGATTATAGGAAAGTACAGTAATAAAAGTTATTGGAACAGATGGATAGAATACAAAAGCTTTAGAAGATAATGTTGAGAAATATTTACACAGTAAAGGAATATCATACAAAAGATTTACATATTTACAAAACTACATTATATATACAGGGTGCTCTAATTTATGTTGGTCGCTACAAATATAACTATTAAATTGTTCTGTAAAACTATTAAATCGCCACAACACCCCCTGCCAGTGATGAACATTACGAAAATTACTGCACTTGTAGGCGATCCGAAAAATGCATGCTCCTACCAGAACCATTACGAGTCGGTTGATTTAGAGCTACATTCGGTTGGGCTGGTGGTTCCGGTTGCTGCTCAGGATCCTTAGGAACGTCGGTCGATTCCTCTTCTTTCAACACGTATGCTTTTTTCAGCCTGTCAACGGACACTGTGACTTCGCGTCCGCGAATCAGGATAACGAATGTCTTGTTAGTTCTTTTTAACACTCGGAAGAGACCTTAGTAGGGTTGTAAGGCTCTTCGGTCCGTAACGTCTGACGAGTATTTGTTCTGTCGCGGCGAGGTCTTTGAACAGAATGGGGGTCTTTTTGCCATGTCTGGTTCCATCTATTGAGGTCAAAAGTTGGGTATGTTGGCGCAAAATTTGCACGAAATCGGCTGGTGTATTGTTGTTGGGTTCCTGTGATGTTGTAAGGAACTCCCCGGGCAGACGTAACGGTTCTCCGTAGACCATTTCTGCTATCGTGCTCCGCAGATCGTCCTTCCAGGCTGCACGGATTCCCAGCATAACTGCTGGGAGGGCTTCAGTCCAGGAAGAATGTTCGTGACATTTGATCGCCGCCTTTAACTGTCTATGACATCTCTCGACCATGCCATTAGTTACCGGATGATACGCCGTTGTTTCGAAATGAGTCACACCTAGCAGGTTATTTAACTACCTAAATAGGTGAGACTCAAACTGCATTTCTTGGTCGGTTGTTATGCGAAGTGGAGTGCTAAATCTGGAGACTAGATTGGTGCAGTTTTTCATGCATGATCTATCCGTTTTCGTCATCTGCTTTTTAGTTTTCAACCGCGAAAGTAACTTTTTAGACAATTTCGTTTTTATCGTTACATTAACGTTATTTTTACGTTAACTACCCATGGTTCATCAGAAACACCCAAATTCTGAAAGAAACTGGTCTACCTTCTCTCCCCGAGGCTGCAACCAGATTCGTGACAATTCTCAGGTCATGCCACTGAAACCAGTCTACCTTGATACTTTCCGACTTCGGCTCTAAACCAAACGATCGTTTCAGAAGGCACTGTCACCTTCTCTTCTGAGCTGCTCTCTTTTCGCTCAAGTCTAGTTTCCTCCTTTAGCGCGTGTACCCACCCAGCTCTTTGAGGTGGGACACCGATTTTCGCCCTCACCATTCCTCCTCCACAAAACACCCCCTCTCCCTACTCACCTCTCTCCTCTTTCCCAACCTTTCCAACGAATCTTCCCTGGGATGTACAATTTTCTGGTTGATCTCTATACTTGACGAGGAGGCGGTAGGCCCTTCTCGAAAAAAAACTAATAAAAAAAAAAGAGGAAAGAGAAGAGGACTAAGTGGAGACCGCGAAGTGGTCGTGAAGTGAGAGGGAGGGGTGATCCTTCGGTTCGTGTAATTCGGGAATCCATAATATACCGAAACTAACGGGATAATTTCAACACAATCGTAAGAATGAATTCCACTTAATTTCGATTTTAGGGAATTAATTTTTATCATTGTTTACGGTTTACAAAAGGGAATTTTAAATATTATAGACTTTTAGTTAGTTTTAAGACACACATTTAAGAGGAACAGTTAAGCATTGTCCAGTTATTACTTGTTAATTTAAAATGTTTACGGGCAAAGCACATTGTTTACAGTCTATCCAAATACAATCATAATTAACAATTTTCACTAGGTATTGATGGTGTTTCTTTTTTGGTATCATTATTAAAGAGTAGCAGGCAGTTAAAGAGATGGGGCTGTAACCTAAAGAAGTAAATATTAGGAAGAAAATACTAGTATGCAAAGGAAGAAAAAGTAGGGAAAGAGCGAATATAAAGATAGAAGACGAAAAATTAGAAGAAGTGGCCGATTTTACGTAAGTAGGAAGTCAGATAAGTCAAAACGGAAGGAGTAGAGGGATATAAAGCAGGGGATAGCGCAAGGTCGAGTTGCCTTCAATAAAAAGAAGTCACTTCTATGCACGCGAGCGGTTAATTTAGAAATTCGAAAAATTTTGTTAAAGGTGTATGTTTGGGACACGGCGCTGTACGGGTGAGAAGTATGGACAGTGTTCTCGGCGGAAAAGGTTAGAAGCGTTCGAAATGTGGTGTTACAAGTGGATATATATATAATACTAGAATATGTCGTCTATTCGGTTAATTTCATTTATATAAAAAAATCGCTATGCATACATATACTATTTTTAAGTGAAATTGCAGAAACCTTGCACCGATGATTTTTTCTACACATAACGTACTTCTTCTTTCAACACGTATGCTTTTTTCAGCCTGTCAACGGACACTGTGACTTCGCGTCCGCGAATCAGGATAACGAATCGTTTGTTAGTTCTTTTTAACACTCGGAAGAGACCTTAGTAGGGTTGTAAGGCTCTTCGGTCCGTAACGTCTGACGAGTATTTGTTCTGTCGCGGCGAGGTCTTTGAACAGAATGGGGGTCTTTTTGCCAGGTCTGGTTCCATCTATTGAGGTCAAAAGTTGGGTATGTTGGCGCAAAATTTGCACGAAATCGGCTGGTGTATTGTTGTTGGGTTCCTGTGATGTTGTAAGGAACTCCTCGGGCAAGCGTAACTGTTCTCCGTAGACCATAAGTGCTATTGTGCCCTGCAGATCGTGCTTCCAGGCTGCTCAGATCCCTACTATAACTGCTGGGAGGGCTTCAGTCCAGGAAGAATGTTCGTGGCATTTGATCGCCGCCTTTAACTGTCTATGACATCTCTCGACCATGCCATTAGTTACCGGATGATACGCCGTTGTTTCGAAATGAGTCACACCTAGCAGGTTATTTAACTACCTAAATAGGTGAGACTCAAACTGCATTTCTTGGTCGGTTGTTATGCGAAGTGGAGTGCTAAATCTGGAGACTAGATTGGTGCAGTTTTTCATGCATGATCTATCCGTTTTCGTCATCTGCTTTTTAGTTTTCAACCGCGAAAGTAACTTTTTAGACAATTTCGTTTTTATCGTTACATTAACGTTACTTTTAAGTTAACAACCCATGGTTCATCAGAAACACCCAAATTCTGAAAGAAACTGGTCTACCTTCTCTCCCCGAGGCTGCAACCAGATTCGTGACAATTCTCAGGTCATGCCACTGAAACCAGTCTACCTTGATACTTTCCGACTTCGGCTCTAAACCAAACGATCGTTTCAGAAGGCACTGTCACCTTCTCTTCTGAGCTGCTCTCTTTTCGCTCAAGTCTAGTTTCCTCCTTTAGCGCGTGTACCCACCCAGCTCTTTGAGGTGGGACACCGATTTTCGCCCTCACCATTCCTCCTCCACAAAACACCCCCTCTCCCTACTCACCTCTCTCCTCTTTCCCAACCTTCCCAACGAACCTTCCCTGGAATCTATAATTTTCTGGTTGATCTCTTTACTTGAGGAGGAGGCGGTAGGCGCTTCGAGAATCCGACACCCCCCTCCTACAGGGGTCTGTTGAAGATTTCTCCTTCTCGAAGAAAAACTAATCAAAAAAAAAAA